CATATTCTCCATACTGACCCGGTCCCTCATATTCTCCATACTGACCCAGTCCCTATACATTTCATAAGGTGTTGACAAGGAGAATTTGTATAAAAATCAAGAGCTTCTTTAGTTGCAGATCATTTCCTCCATTGAATTCTCCTGACCTTCATGATGCTTGATTCAGGGGTGATATTGTAATGAGAAATATGATGCCAGTCATTCTCAAGGGTCACAAGCTCTTAAAAGTGCATATAAATTGGTTGCAACACATGTATTATCTACTACTTAAAGTGCCTATGACAAAAATTTTTGTTTTGCATTTTCTGGTTGATAGCTAAGTTTCTTACATCTTTTAGATTTCATATGATATTTTTTTACTTTTTAGAATCAATAGTGAAGCTGCCATACCATATGCCAGCTGTACTTCCTATAACACATTTTCTGAAAAGGGTGCCACTAACAGATCAAAAGAAGTCTGACAGGTACTATGAAGCATGCCTGTAATTTAATCTTTATCTTGCATGAATTTATTATTAGAGAAAGACTCTTGTAAGTTATGGAAGAATGGAAGAGAGAGGGAAAGGCTGATAGCATTTTACTAACACATTCCCTATAAAATGGAAATAAAATGAAAAAATATTTGTCTTAAGATAATTAAACTGTTAGGAGAAAAGAAATTTGTTAATAAGAGTGTCAGGATTCTGAGGTTTAACACGTCCTGGAGAACCTGGAAAGTCCTGGAATTTTATTTTGACATTTGCCAGGACTGGAGAGTCCTGGAAAAAGACTATAGGTCCTGGAAATTCCTGAAAATCTCCTTTACTCAAATAATAAAGTTTTCAGAATTAATATTGAAGAAATGTCTGTAAACCGTAAGGGGAATTGATTTTGAAATCTTGAGAATAGGAGAGTTTAAGGTGAAATTTAGAGTCCTTGAAAATCAATCCAAGTCCTGGAAAAGTCCCTGAAATTTGTTTCTGAAAAAGGGTATAATCCCTGGTATTCATGCAAACTCCTCTTTTCCTTGGAAGTTGTGCTAGTCTATCATAATGAGCTCTGTCATGTATTGCAATCCCAGCATTTTTGTCAGGTGTTTGTCACAAGTCAGTTTTTATTCCCTAGACAGGAGATGCATCTTGAATTTTCCTTGTTATCACAGCAAGCAAACACTCAAAATGATATTATCAGATCTGGGTGAAATGATTAGTTTCAGTGTGCAACTCCTCCAAGAAAGTAATGTAACATAATAGAGAATTTATTGTCATCAACATCCTTCCCTTCTTTCTATCAGCCCTAGGGTTATTTCTTCAGGAATTCCACCTGGAAATCAAACATCACCTGTTGGTAATGGTAAGCCTGCTGACCAAGAGCTTGCTAGTCCCTTGATTGCTGACACTGCCAGTCCCACAGCTGCTGTTGATGCAGTTAAGGTGATGTCTAAGGCAGCAACACCAAAGCTGAGTGCTGCTACAGATCCATTCTTCTTGGACTTGGATGTCACCACACCTGTGGCAAAGCCAATAAGTAGTGGAGTGCAGAGTTTAAAAGAAAGGTAGTAGTTGATTGGAACCAAAAAATGCTTTTACAAGAGTGAGCCCTTATGAAAGTTTCAGTTTTTTCTCCTTTTCACTTTTCATTTATTTTTTTTTGCTGTAATAGATGTGATATTTTACCTCATACAATTTGTCCAGTAGTCTGAATGCTAACATTATTTGCTGTGGAAAACACCGAAATGAGAAGTTTTTTTGCCACATTTGTATTAAAAAAATACATTACAAAAACTGGGCTTCATTTCTGTAACACTTGAGAATAATGTTACAGTGTACAAGTGTTGTTTGCTTCATTTACCAGTTCTCATTTAATACCATTTAATAATTTTTTTTTCAGATTTATGAAGCACACCTTAAAGCCTCAAGATAAATCAACAACTGCAAAGAAACTCACAGAGAGAAAAGATCCCCCAATGGAGGAGGTCTCTTTAGAAGAAACACCCAAACCCAAGGGGATAAACCCAATCCTTTGTAATGAGAAACTCATGACTGCTAAGACACCTGGTGAGTCTTGTATGTGCTACTTTTGTTATACTGGACATAGTACATAGTATTTTGGTGAATTTGCTTAATAGCTTAAAATTACAGAAAATGTTTATTAGTAAAACAACTTCATAAAAGTGAAGTAAAAAATCCAAGGTCAGGCATCAAAATGGAGTATTAAATGTGGTATGAACTAAATTAAATGCTGCTGCATTTATTAAAGTTTAGTGTTTCTTCGTACATGTACATATGTGGCATTATTTATGGGCAATGGTTGAGCTCTTATGTCTTGTTTTTTTTTTCGTCGAGATAGAATCAATTGAATACAATATAGCAGTTTGATGGTGCAAAGGAACTGATGGATCTACATTTACTGCCAAGTAAATCAAGGATCAATTTGGCCATGTAGCCTCTTGTTGAGATTTTAAATAATATACTTCAATTGTTTTGCCGCAGGTTCTAGGCTTCAACTTCTGAAGGAACAATTACAAAAAGAAATGAGAGTAAAACGAGCAGAAAATAGGCAAATACAAGAATCTCAACGGAAGTTAGACAATGAAGAAATGAGTGAGGAAGAAGAGGAGGAAGAAGAGATGACAGATGAAGAAGGTGGATGTACAACCTACATGGCCTACATTACAATTTAACCCTTTAACTCCCAGATCAGATTTGTCATTCTCCTTACTTTCAACCATACAATTCCTCTAATGTTAGTTCAGAGAAGTTGGTATTGGATCAACTAATTATCCCCAAATTGATATTTTTCTATATTCTCATCACTTATCTGATTGATATTGTAAGGAGAAATTCTGTCTTGGTCACTCATGGGAGCTAAAGGGTTAAATTTATTCTAGGCTGGTTAGATTGCTATGTAATGTTAGATCTGTATTAGCCCAGAAATCTTGTACTGTGATATGTCAAGATTCCAAGAAACAGTTAACAATTCCCCCTTCTCACATTTTGATTACAGCTCTTAAACACCAATTTTCAATATGATGACTTTACTGTTTGCTAAAAATTCTGAGAATTGAGATAAAGAAAGGGAAAGAAAAATGAAATTATATTGCTCTGATAATCACTTGGGGAAGACATTAAATTTCTTTGGTCAGTCCTGGAAGATGTTGAGAAAGAATGCCACTCATTATCTTTACGCAGATGAATCTGATGATGAACTTGACAAGTGGAATGAAGATGATGAACGAAAGC